AAGATTAGAAAATTAATATAATATATATATTGCAGAGAACAAAAATATACATTCTAACAAAAAAAGAAAAAAAAAATTAATGCTCAAATAATGAAAGTGCTTTAAAAAAATGTGCAAACAAGTTTTTATGAGCAAGATAAAATTGAATTTAAATTTTTAATTAAAATTGAGTTATAGGGTTTAGGAAAACTAAAAATTAAAACAAAATCACTATAGTACAAAATAAGATTCCATGATTATTTGGAATTATACATTAGATATTATTTCTATTTCTTGAATTTCTAGGTTTCATAAATTTTAAATAGGAATAATATTTTCTTTAAAAAAAAATTATAACAATATTACAAACAGTGAGCAGTTTAAAAATTCTAGTTTTCCTCCACTTTTCTAATTTCTCTTGTTGCAATAGCACTGCATTAAAATATCGAAATTCTAAATATTATGCGCAAATGCATGGGGCTAAACCCCCAAAAAACAACGGTAAAACAACTTAAATTTACAATGAAATATGCACAAATGAATTGTATCAAAAAGTGATTACGCAAATACGCGATTAGTAACTCGCGTGTTGTAACAACATCATAACAGGATCATCAAATTCATGAAAAAAAGCATCGCAATTATTGCAACAGCAAAATAAAATCACTTTCATTAACGATGAAATCAGCATGAATAGAGCAGGGGGGGTGCATTGCAAAAACTGCTGAAAAGATTTTTAAAAATAACATTAATTTTCAATAAAATTGTTTGTCAAAAACAAAGTGTGTCAAAAAGTGAAATTTAAATTTTCCATTTGAAACTCGCGCAGCGGAATTTTATCATCATACTAAAGATAAGGGATTTTCAAAATCACATGGAAAAGCATAACAATAGTTGCCTTTAAAAAAAAGTAAAATTTATTTAGATTTAAAATGAAATAGGCAAAAATAAAACATTTCAAAAAGTAATAAATTAAATACGCGACTTGAGTCCTTATACCGTAATAGATGTAGAGGAATTTTAAAAACCACAGGGAAATCGCTAGTTATAAAAGCTAAAAAACTATCAAAACCATTGCTTAAAAATATGATTAAATCAGCAACAATAAAGAGAGTCAAATAGCAATTACTTAAAATTCAAAATTCATATATTGTATTACAAGGATTGAGTTTTTTAAAACCATTGCAATTTCGTAGCAATAATCGTTGTAAAAGCGATCGAAAGACAATGTAGATTAATGATAAAACCTGCGCAAATTGAGAATATCAGAAAGTGATGACTAAATGTGCAATTTAAGTTTTTTGAAATTTTTCTTAATTTCCAAAAAAATATTTTTTTTTCATTGGGTTTAAAAGTTCTTGCGGGTCGCATATCAACAGACGGTGGGCCACAGGTTGTGCACCCCTAAAACTTAAGTTTCAAGGAATTTTACGCACTAAAAATCATTAAAAAAGGATTCTTTCAAATGCGTTGAATTTGTACCTTTTATTTTAATTTCAGCAAATGCAGCACTTCCAATTCCACCTTTGCTGACTGCTCGCACTTCAAAACTATACTCAAAAGAATCATTCAGTAAAGGAAAGGAAATACTTAAAGTTTCCTGGAGAAAAAAAATACATTTTAAAAACTTGAGGAAAAAAGTTACAAATTTATAAATATCAAGGTCATGCCTCCATGTTGGGATGGCGCTGTCATCAAGGTAGATGTTGTAAAAGGACAGAGGAGGGAATGCTCCGATTGAGAGCGGAAACGAATTGTTTAGGTGTCTTTGTTATATTAATTTTCTAATCTTTTACCATTACTAATAAATGTTTTTTTTTTTTGTGTTGTAAACTGGTTACCATTTTTTTTTTTGGACCAATTGTGTTTTGGGGAAGTATCTGAGTGAAGAAGCGAAAAGGAGAAAAAATGTATGTAATATCACAGCGCGCTCTCTTTCGAAAACCAGAGCATAAATCAAGGTATGAGATTTATCATATTCTGTTTATTAAAAACGTTTTAAGAGTTGAATTATGAGAAATATTGATGTTAAGTGATATTCTTAAAGAGGAGAATAATTGTGATTTAAAGAAATTATAATTATTTTGGGAATAGAAATAAATAGAACAATTATGTTTAACATAAGGGGAATAAAAAAAGAAGATTTGGTAGTAGCTGCGGAAGAATTAGGTTTAGAAGTAAAATCGGAACAGAAAGTTGTTGTTTTAAAAGATTTGATAGAAAAAATTGATAAATTTAAAAATGACTTTGATTTTGTTAAAGAATTTCTAATTACTACAGTTTCCGAACGTATTGAACGAGAGAGAAAAAAAGCAGAATTGTTAAGTGCAGAAAGGAATCAAAACAAAACAACAACTGAAGCAGCATTAGAACTCGAGAAGACTAGGCTTGAGATTGTTAAAGCACATTTAGAATTGACTAGAATGCAGACAGAGAGTAATAGTTCTAACTCAAATGTAGGAAATGATTTTAGTTCAAATAATAATAATTTAGAAACATTAATCAAAAGCGTTAAAACTTTAACTATTTTTGTCCCTAGTTAACCCGAATCTTGGAATTTATTTTTTAGGTCTCTTGAAAAAGCATTTGTAATAAAAAATGTCCCGGAAGAATTTAAAGTCTAAATATTATTTAATCTGTTAGGTGAACGAGCGGCACATTTGGTAGTTTATGCAAACGCGGAAGGAATGCAAGATTATCATAAAGTTAAAGCTTTAATTTTAAAAGAATTTCAACCTACCCCAGAAGCCTGCTTAGAAAACTTTCTTAATGCCAAAAGATCAAAAAAATGGTAACCAGTTTACAACACAAAAAAAAAACATTTATTAATAATGGTAAAAGATTAGAAAATTAATATAACCAAGATACCTAAGCAATTCACTTCCACCCTAAATTGGAGCATTCCCTCTTCTGTACTTTTACAACATCTATCTTGATGACAGTGCCATCCCAACATGGAGGCATGACAATCACATTTAGAGCACCCTAACATCTGATGATTTCCCCCAACACATGCATTCTCTGCCCCCCCAGGAAGGTTAATTAGAAGTTAAACACTGATAAATCTGAATGACATTTAAATCATTCATTAAAAGCATTTAACAATATTAAATATATCTTTGACAAATCAGGCACAGCTATTTTCAGACTGAACTTTGCCTAATAAGATAAAATTTCAGAATTATGTCTGCCAAATTATTAATTAAACAATAAATAAATAAATTAAACTATAATAAAAACTATTATTTAAAATAATTATTTTACTAAATAAAATATTAATGAAGAGACAATTATTTTATAAACACATTCAATCATGTTACTTTAAGCTAGATTCCTCCTGTGTTCAAAATTTCATTACTTGATTGTTCAACTCCCAATTTGTATCACTTCTTACTAATAGCCCATTCGATGATTTAATATTCTGTTTATAGTTATTTTTTACCAGAACCTAATAATTTATATTATATTATTTCACTAATTTCAAATGTAAATAATTACTTATTTAAAAATATTAATTTATAACTTATATTATATTGTTCCACTAATTTCAAATGTAAATAATTACTTATTTAAAAATATTAATTTATAAACAACCTTTCACTTCAATTTTCATATTTTATTGACATATTAATTGGACTAAAAACTAAAGTTAAGATTCCAAACAACAAAATAAGGGTGATCATGCATAGAAAACAGATAATCACTTAGAGCTGCCAAAAGTTTAAGAGTTCATTTAAGTTGAGAAAATTTTTATAGTTGTACATTTTTATCCTAAATTCCCTATATTAATACAATATAATATAATTATGGAAGCAATTATATTTTTTAATGCCTACATATCTGCAGTTTTGCTGTACTTTAAATTTGTAATTGTAATTTACATTTATTTTAACATTTCAGTGTGTTTCATAGCGAAAAGTTTAAAAATTATCTGTGATTTTTTATTTTTTTTTATTTTAGACATAGCATTAAATGGGCAAAGCTGAAAATGTTAATTTAAGGAAACGAAATGACATAATTAAGAAAATAAACATGGACATGAAGTTTGATCTTGATTTTTTAAACCACTTTTATTAGCTATGTTTTTTCCCCCTAAATGAATTAACAAATTAATCCAAACAAATTTGTTATGTTATGCCACCCACTTTCAAAAAATAAACCACATAATATGTATTTTCAATTTAATATTTTAATCAAAAGACTCAAAAAGGTATACAGTATTTTTAGCTGGGTTATAATTTCTAAAAGTAGTTTTAAATATAATACTTGAAGGAAATTTGTTTTTTAAATGTCTCTTTATCATTTAGAGATCTGAATATGAAGCGATTGTCTGAAAATATACTCATTTTGAGCTTGTCACGCCAATTTTCTTAAGTATGCATTGTCAACTATGTCGATTTCCTAAAAAAAGTTTTTTTATAGTTATATCCAATTTTCTTACAACTTCTTGAGATGTAGCCAATTTTTTTTTAAAAAAAGTATTACACGTTCTGAGCTTTGTCCAAAATAAAAAGATCACTGACGATATGCAGCTTACTATGTTTTGCTTTGGCCTGGGCTGCTCAGTGACTAAAACCACCTCAGTTTAAAGTTTATAAAGCAAAGTTTGATTCAAACCTAGAGTGAGAAAATGAAATTATATTATTTTAAACATTAATAAAATTCAAAAACGTTTACACTTTTAACGGCTTTGAAATCAATGTATTTTGTGCCATCTGCCAAGACGAAGATACGGTAGCCGGACACTGGATTCTTGGGTGAAGTGTACCTTGGTGGTGACCAATTTAATAACATGTCTGTAGAGTTGAGACATGCAGTTACATTTAAAGGTTTACTTGGTGCTAAAATGCAAAAGATATGTGCAATTATAAAATCATTATATAATTCAGAAGAAACAAAAAGCAATGCCTAAAATAACACTTTTATTTAGATATAAATTTTATACATGAAAACAATGTCAAATTTGCATTTTGTAAAGCTGAATCTCTTGATTTTTGTCACATTTTCTTCTTATATTTAAAGCAGGAATGGTAAATTTTTTCCACAAAGAAAAAAAAAAAAGAGGAGAAAACGACAAGAGGATAATAGATTTCTTCAATCCCAAATGGAAGAAATTCTTCTTCATAAACAAACATCAAATATTAATATAATTTTTTACACCATTTTTAACAGCAATCTAGTTTAAATAACAATATTAACTTCAAAACTATTTAGTATACGTTTCTTATAAATGGGGGTATGTTACAAATTTGCTCTTTTGCAAAAGACAAAAAAAAAACCTCCCAAAAAAAAAACTGTGTCAATTGTGGAAAGATTGTTTTAATTGCTTCCAAACTATTGGATTCTCTTTATTAGGCAGTCTAGAAAATTGCAAATTTTTTTGATATCAAGAAATTTATATAGCTGTTGGAACTGACCATTTTTGAAATTTAGCACATATCCTCATTTAACATTGACAAAATAAATAAATAAAATAATGAAGTAAGAAATATCCTTTTATGTTAAAAGCAATAATTTTATTCCCCTAGCAAAAATTTCACACATGATAAAAGCTGATGACAAATCATAAGTACACTTTGTCTGTCAAGAATGTACGGAAATCGCTCTATTTAGTCTCATTGAAATTTTGTGTAACTGAGTTAACTTCTGTTGGAGCCTTTGGCCATCTCTGCCTTATTGAATAGACCAACATACTTCAAAAAAGTTCTCAGGTCATCCAATTTTTTGTTGTTAATGGAAACAGCTAAATAAAGCGTTAAGAGTTGGAAGCTGAGGAATATCCTTTTTAGTGTGGGATACCAGACTGTTGATGAACAACCACTTTTTCAGGTACACAGTGGCTGTATGAGAAGTCACCTGTCCTTGTCTTGTCTTATTGTTTTAGTGGCATTGATATGTTGGTGACTGCTGGAAAACTGTTGAGCTGCATCAATTTATTTTCTGATTTTTCGGTGGCTTATAAAATGTGCCACGCATGTACTTGTGTTAAAATGTTAAGCGTTTGAAGTTGAGTGTTAAATAATAATATCAAAGTTCACGGGTCTCACTTTATCACAGTTACGAAAACATAATATTGATAAGTCTCATTCTAACACTGATTGCAATAATTATTATCGTAATTGATTCTTTATGATACATTGTTGCTATAGCTATACCGAGTCGTTTTAGAAACGGGGCACACGTATCCTTTTTAAAAAATGAGCAAGAACTACTGGATGAAGTTACCTGATACATTCCAACTCTATCAGTGCCTGTACGGAAACCAACAAAAAACATATTTTTGTAAATATGTTACATATTTTCTTTTAACATCCATTGTGAAACCAGGGGCTCTAAAAGTCATTGATTTATTTACAAAAGAGCCTTTGTAAACCAGACCTTAATAATATAGGTTTTATAATTAATATAGTAGGATAAATATTTTCACTTCTTGGTCATTTTGATTCCTTTTAAATTGCGATTTTATTGCAATTATTTATTTTTTTTAAAAACTTTTTTGATCATAGTATTTTGCTTTAACCTTGATTGAGGGTTGCGACTGTGTGTGCTTGAGCACAGCTGAGCGACAACCTACAAAGAGGTTTATTTTTCCCACTTTATTTTCTTTTTAATGTTAGTTCTTCCTTCAATACTCACTTTATTTTTGAGTCTTATACTTATTTTATTTAAATATGGTTCATATTGTTTGTTTAACTTGTAGCAATGAAGTTCATTTTTTTTACATATTTGTTTAAATGCGTCATACACAAAAGGTAATATATAATTTTTTTTTAATTATAAATCTAGTTCCTCTGTAAAATAAAATCAGTAGAATCTGATTTTGGAATTGAAATAAAATATTTAGAGAATATTAAATAACAGAAGAAGAGAATAATGAGCAGTTTTTACTTTATCATTAATGACTTAATAAAAAAAAATTAATTAAAATGATTATTTTCAGCTGAAATTGTTACTTCAAGTTTGAAAGTATTCAGACATACAAAATTCATAATGAGCTCATAAATACTCTATTGAATCTTAACAGAACTAGTCTAAAGTTTAAGGATATAACAGTCTGATTTCTCTTGTTTAGTCTGTATTCAGTCTTCATTCAAATTATAAATTTATTTTTTTATCAAAACTTGTAGTTGACCTCCATTTTTTTTCATTCTGTAAAATTTATAATTTATTTAAATTTTCCAAAAATTTGAAATCATGATTATTTTTTTCTGTGCGTATCATGATAAATCGTTTAAACTAATTAGGAAAAAATGGGACTTTTTAAAAAGCTTTAATGAATTATTTTTTTTAAAAAAACAAGTACTATAGTTGTAATTTTTCTCGCTCTTTGATTAAGATTCTTTGTAACGATAGTGATGTAACTATTGAATTTGCAATTGTAAACAGCAATTATTTTAACTTTCAAGCATTTAAAAGTTTTAAATAATATTAATATTTATTTTAACTTTCAAGCATTTAAAAGTTTTAAATAGTAATATTTATTTAAGTTATTGTTCATGTATATTATGAGTAATATTGGTCGAAATCGGTTGAAATGAACTTTCCTAAACGAAGACAAAAGCATCAAAGTAAAAATTTTGTTACCACTGTGAAATAAGGTTGGGATTTTTTTCGAAGAAACCTATAACTTCTAGGTGAAGTGGAGGTAACTAAAAATTACCTACTATAGATTATTTGGTTTTAAGAATAGTTTAAATTTATACAAATTAAACCTAATATAGCAGCAGGAAGTTGATAGGTTTGCATATCTATACCTTTAAATAACTATTTAGTTATTTTTTCTTTAATAATTTAATTTTATACCCAATTTAAAATCTACTTATTTTTAAGAGTTGGTTGGAGCATTCATGCTTCAAAGTATTTGATTATAGAAATTAAAATGCTGTTCGCAATTATGGATTTAATATGAGATTTATATTAGTGGATATTTTTAGCATGTGATTTGTTAATTTAATTTTATGTGTAAAATTTGATCGAGATTGTAGTAGTTATTTAGTAGTTACAGAACTTTAAGATTAGGTTTTTCTATACTCTTTAATATAAAATCCTACAAAAAACTTCTGCTGTTTTAGTTTCCTATTAGGTAGGTATAGGGTGCGTATAGGTGCTTTAGGTATTAAATATAGGGTCTCTAATTCACTTTAAATGTTACAAAACATTTAAACAAAATGCATTATTTACCACAAAGATTAAAACTATTCCCAGTCAAGTTCAAGCATGTGGGTGTGAGGAACCATGCTTCAGCGCTTTCACTTTTCCCGGTCTCTACTTCTGCAAAGGGCGTGATGCGAACCGTGTAATTCACGTTGAACGGGAGATCGAGAATGGTCACAGATAAAATATTGTAAGGCTGCAAATAGGAAAAGAATATTAAAAACAGTTCTGTTCAACAAATGTCTTCTTTTAACAACAAAAAATGAGGAAGAAACAACCCTCACCAAGGCAACTTTTTGCGACACAACTGGGCTGTCACTGAGAGAGGGGAACCAAAAAATCTCGTAGGAGCATGGCAGTTCTGAAAAAAAAAATATTACGTTAGATTATATTTTTAAAAAAATAATTTTAAAAAAAACATATTTCATAACTTTTACAAAATGTCGAATAGATTTCAGACCTTTAGATGCATTCCATCTGACAACTGCTTTAACAAGACCACTTACTATAGAAAAATCAGAAACTCGTACATCACTTGGAGCACTGAGACTAGGAGTAAAATCTTTAAAAAAAAAAAAATTTATATCACATTAGTCATTTTTAATATACAAGTCTAAATCAATGTGCTGTTTCCCACTATAAGTAAAAACCTTACAATTCTCAATTGAAGTTAATAATTATCAAATTTTCATCAAAAGTGCTAAATTTCAATTTTATAAAACAGTAGTTATAGAATTTTTCTTACTCACAACACGGCTTGAAAGAGATTTTTTTTAATGAAAAACACCTGTATTAACAGATAATTAAAAAGGTTTTTGAAAGATACAGCCTCATTAAATCCTAATTCTATGATGGTTTCAATTTAAGTCACATTACACAATGACATTAGTCAATCTAAAAGCATTTATTTTAAGATTGTTGTTGTTGTTGTTGTAATTCATTTACGTCGTACTAGAGCAGCACAATGGGCTTGGTTGTGTTCAAGAGATGAATTATTGAGTTTCACATTTAATTAGTATTTATTTTACATTTAAGTATTAAGAATAAGGGGAGAAAATATGAAACAAGAGCAGCGCATCATTCTACAATGGCGGTTAGGATTCTTCTGGTGAATGACAGAGACAGTTACTGATCGTAACTGTCGCGATTACGATTAAGTTAAGTTCAGTTGCCACAGGGTATTGGCGACGGTCTGGGAAACAACCCTGAGGATGATTCGAAGACATGCCATCACAATTTTGATCCTCAGCAGGGGGGATGGCACCCGTGTTTCGGTAACCTGACGACCTGCATGCAAAGTTGAGCACTTTACAGTAGAACAGCTTAACAAGGACCGATACCGCACACCCTCGGTTGATACGCAGACTGATCCAAGTGGTCACCCACCCGCACACTGACCGTAGCCAGTGATGCTTGACTTCAGTGATCTGCTGGGAACCGCATCTTAAAGATCAGTCCACTGCGGAACCATTTACTTGAAGAGATTAATTAATCCTTACAAAACTTGGATCTACAAAACACTATGTTTACATTAGGATTGGCAAAAATCATAATTGAAGGGAGGGTATCGATTTTATTTTATTTCTTAAACAAGGGTTAATTGGGAAACTGTAGCCACTGGACCAGTAACTTAAGGATATTATTAGTGCATGCATATTTTGCAAGTCCGCTGACAATTTTTCTTGGATTTTTTCTTTTTTAAATATATATTTACATATTTATATTTTATAGCAGATACACATTTATATTTCATAGGGGATTTTTTTAAAAAATACACATAAATATTTATACAAGGCCCTTTTTGATAATTTAATAATCATTTTATAGAATTATTTTACTAGATTGATATCTGATTTGTTATAAATTTTTATAGTAAAAACTAATTACTTAAATTTAAAATCTTATATTTAAAACTTAAAATCTAAAATAAGAATAAAGTAGACTAAGTTACTTTGATTGAAAACAATACTTACATGTTAAAGAATTGCGGACTGCATACCTTGCACCAAAGGTTAGACAAAAGATGATAAAAAACTGAAAAATATAAAGTTTTAGCATGTAGGGTGACCTGGGGTAATTCCTGATCAAAAAATGCAAACATCTATTTTGTGAAAAAACTATTCAAGATAGAACTTTAATATTTACTGAAAGTTTATAGGCTATATGAGATGAGTCCTATGCTACCTTCTTTTGTTTGAAAATCTAATTAGGATTTAAAAGATTTAAAATTTTTAGTGATCAGGAATTACCCCTTCTCTTGATCATTTCTGGGGTAATTCCTGATCACTTCTGGGGTAATTACTGATCATCAGTTCTTATAGTAAAGGGGCTGTTTAAAAATGGGTGATTTCACAGTATTGTGCATGTTGCAGACGTGACATTTACGAAGTTTGATTGCTCATAATTAAATAAAAAATTAAGGTAGGTAACTGGTTTTTGCATCATAAAATTCAGGAGACATATCATCTTTTAACCCAATGCATATATAAAAATAAAAATGAATTTAAACAGCTTTAAAATAAAAATTTGAAGCATTGCGGACCATGACGCAGAAAAATATGGTTTTTAGAATGTTTTTCTACATTCACCAAAATCTCTTAATTTTATGAAATAAATTACAACTCTTTTTTAGGTAAGATTTCAATGTATATTTATATAAAAGAAATCACAAGAATTTTGAAGAAGTAAAATTAATTTAATTAAAAATTACCAAATTAAAAACAATATGTATGTTGCGGATATGACGTTGCAAACATGACAGAAAGTTTCTCATTATAAATATCCTTCTTAAATATGGTCATATATCATTGGAATATTATATATTTCTTTTGTTAAATAAAATGTTAAGTAAATCGGAATTGTTAAATCATTTTTCTTTTAATATTTAAAATTTTTGAACTTAAATTTTATTATAAAATTAATTATTCTAAATTACTTTTATTTTAGATTTTAGGCAAAAGATGTGTATAGAATCACATTACAATTTATTTATTATATTATTTATCTTTAAGGCAAGTTCTGAATTGTATGAAAAAAACCATGCAGAATGATCAGGTGAAGGTTCCCATGGCAAAGGGCATAAGTATGAGTCGATTTAAATTGTTTCAAATTGCGGTTTTTCCAAACACTTAAACTTGTTTATAGCTACGGGTTTGAAGTGGTGTTTAAGTGTAATATTTGGTTTGCTTGTAGAAATTATTTCGCCTGGCCACCAATAGTTATCAAACAATATGGATATCCACTGGCTTTCTTCTAAAACTGTAACTGGTGTTAAAGCTTGTTGTTGTGAAGCTATAACAAAATTTGAAGGCAGTTTAGTAAATATTTCAGCTAGGTGCATGATTTGGGGACTAGAGAGAGGAGAATTTAAAGAATATTCCACTGAATTAAGTGTTATAGGTGAGATGAAATGCAATAATCTCGCATTTGAGATCGATTTGCAGAGACTATAACGTTCTTTCAACATGGATGCCTCAGGATCGACAGTGTCTTTGCTTACATACATAATTTTTATATTCCCATCTGAGTATCTGTTCTTAAAATATGCACCTGTTGCCAGAGCCGTAACTACGCCGGGGCATCGCCCCGAGGCCCTGACGGTCAAGGGGGCCCCATATGAAGAGAGCAAATCATGTTTTTTCAAAATACAGTCCTCTAATTATATACAGGTAGGAAAGAAATTGTGCTAAGATAGAGTTGCTGAAAATTTTCTTTTTTGTAATTACGTACTACTATAACATAAAGGAAAGGGTAAAAAACGGTATAACAGCTTTCCGCGAATTATTTCCCTTTCTCATAAGAACAAACACGCTTTGCAGAGAAGGGGAAAGGCCACATCTGCAAGTAGTTGACTGTTAACACTTTCTGTACATTACACTTCTGGTTTACATTGTTTCCTCTACTATCTAGCGTCAGACCCAGTGGCGTGCCAACCAGGGGGAGGCAGAGGGCCCCTCTCAAATTTAAGTGATGGGACAAACGATGCGTTTCGCCCTTCTGAAATTTAGACACTCACAAAAATAAAGTAAAATCGGTAATTTAAAAAAAAAAATTTCAATTTTGAAGCTATTTTTGAAATAAGAAAACTCTATATTCCACTAAAATTTATGTGCTTTGCCTCTTCTGATATTTAGTTATTCGCAAAGACGAAGTCCATTAAAATAGGTAATTTTAGAGAAGATTTGCAGAATTGCATCTATTTTCCAAATAGAAAACTTAATTTTCCTCTTAAATTATAGTAAGGGGATAGGAAACTTTATTTTCTTCTGAGATAAATTAAAGGGGTCTAAAATGTGTTTTGTATCTTCTGAAATTTAGACATTTGAAATAATAAAGTCTAGTGATATTTTTTTTTTTTTTAAAAAAAAACCTTGAATCTATTTTCCAAAAAGAAAATTTTATTTCCCCCTTAAATTAAAGTGAGGGAGCGAAGCTTATACTTCGCCCCTTCTGAAATTCAGATATTCGCAGGAATAAAGTCAAGTAAAATTTATATTTAACTCTTATTTTCGACTTTAAAGCTATTTTCCAAATCGAAAACTTTATTTTCCTCTGAAATTTAATTGAGATGGAAGATAATGTGCGCAACTCCTTCTGAAAATTTGACATTCGATACAATAAAGTAAAGTAGAATTGAGAATTTTAGAAAAAGAAACTACTTTTTTTTCCAATTTACTAGCTATTTTCCAAATTGAAGTAGAAATACCCCCTACCCCACAAGAAAAATACTTCGGTTTTGTATCAATTTTTTTTACATATTACAACTTTTAATTTATTAAAAAAATTTAAAACTAAAACATGAAAAGAGAAGAGGAGCACATCATAAAAAAAAACATAACAAGAGTTTAGAAAACTAAAATAAGTACCACTGTTTTGCATCCTGAAAAATGCATCATACACTGAGACTAATGGATATATTTTAAAGCATCTTTTGACTGTGGGTGGTATGAAGGTGTTAAAACCTTCATACCACCCACAGAGTTGACCCACAGTTATCTGACTCCTCAAAAAACAGCCATCTCCCTTTATACCATGGAAAAATGACCTTTTGCTTCTTTAAATTGCCTTAATCATTTTTATGACCCTGGGCTCTTTTGTGCTTTTATAAAATGTCATATATTTACAGTACCATCTATATGTCCCTTAAGTTGTCTTAAACTAGCAATTATCTAGATGTTCTAGGAAAACAGATGTAAGCTTTTAAGGGATCCAAGGGGATGACTCTTGTTAACATTTACTTAGGTCATTTTGTCAAGAGATTTTTTCTGAGACAAACGTAAAACGTTGCAGTTAAATTCCAGTTTTTAACTCATTTAATTGCGTCATTTAAATTAACCATTTTTAATTCAGATATAAATTTTCTGTTACCTTTTGTTTTGTTCAATTTTTGAAATTAAAATTTAACTTTAATTAAGAGTTTTTAAAATTATTTGCAACTTCATTTTTTCAAACATAAATCGTGATATCAATAATTCCCATTCTTAATAAAAATTTTCTTTGGAAAACAAGAAAACCAAATGTAAATTTATTTATAAGGAGGTAAGTAAATGTTTGCATTAACTCATTTAATACATTTAAATTTTATATTTATATACTGTTAGAATTCTTTTATAAGAATGGTAACATAAAAATTGCTTTTTTTTATGTTCGTATATAAAATTTAATTTGTATAGTACTTTAATTGATAATTTTACTGTTTATTGTGTGCATGGATTTTGTTCTGATTTTATATTTTTTAAATTATTAAGACCTTTAAATTTTTTAAATTGGAACTTCGAATTTTTAGGGTTTTTAACAACTTAGTTTTCATTAAAAAGTGAAATGCAATCTTCATTTTATATAAAAAAAAAATCATATTTAATTTTATAAAAGAACGCATTTAATTTAATAAAAAAGCTATGAACATCAGCTTAGAAATCCGTAGTAATTAAAATTCATTTCCATGACAAACCATTAAAAAGAATATATTTTTAATTAACAAATATGCTTTGACTTTTTCTCATTTTCTTTCATAAAAAAAAACTATTACTCTTTGTCATAATTTAGTCATATATGATTACATGGTTTCATGAATACACAGGCCAAATATTCAAGAACGATTTTCTATGGATCTGTCCATATTGGAGTAAGACAACTGTTTTTGTTAATCGATGTATAAAGAGAAAAAATTTCTGAATATTTTTTCAATTAGGACTTTTGATTTAATGATCGGATCTTCACGTTCTAGGACTCCATCTTAATAATTCGAGGGTGTGACATCAAATATGCAAATTAATTAGTGCACGATATTTTATTTTAAGTTACGCAATCAGACGCAAAAACATACTTTCTCCGAATAAACACAACTTTTGTTCAACAGATTCGATTTTCTAACCCCCGTAATATAGGAGGTAGCTGTAATCTGGGGAATATGGTCCCAATAGTTGGGTCGGGTGAGCTATCCAAAGTTTGGACCCCCAAATGTTAATTTTATTTTTTTGTATTTCACTACAGATCGAGAGCTTTTTAAGGGAATTGAAAAAATTTCGCACACGATTATAAAATTCTGTTATCTAAAGATAATTCCACGCAAGAAATAACTTTTAGTAAATATTTATTATTTTTTATTTAATAATAGCCTGATGTTGATCATTTACGTCACACTAGTGCTGCACAGTAGGCTATCGGCGACGGTCTGGGAAACATCCCTTGAGGTTTGATCCTTTGTAGAGGGGATGGCACTCCTGCTTCGGTAGCCCGGTGACCTGCACCCGAAGTCTAGCACTTTATCGTAGAACAGTTTAATGAGGACCAATACCGTACACCCTCGGTCCCTACGTAGACTGACCCAAGTGGCTGACCAAGTGGCTACGTAGACTGACCCAATACAAATTTGAGCGAAATTGGTTGAATAGTGCATTAGTTCCTGAGAAATTGAGTTTTATAAGTACGCCTTTTTTAAAATTTAATTTCTCAGGATTAATCGATTTCGCTGAAATTTTGCATTTTGTCATGTTTAAAACTTACAATGTTTTGTAATTCAATTTATATGCGAACAAATAACTCGTTTTCATAAATATATTCACTAACATAATACATAAATAGCTAAAATGACACTTAGAGATGGAGTACTGAAAGTTTTTGAAAGGGCCCCCGCCAAAAATGTTTGCCCCAGGGCCCCGAGGAGTGAAGTTACGGCACTGTCTGTTGCCTTTTCTTTTTAATGGCATTTTCAACTATCTACTTTCTTTTTAATGGAGACATTTTTGATATCACATTTGTTAAAACATCAAGTTTCTAATTTTCTTTACCGCTTTTCCTAAAGATTGTCTGCTAGTGTAGCCTGATATATTCACGCCTGATTTTTCAGCTTCTGCTTTTTTCTTTCTACATTTCCTCTGTGCTTCTTTATTTTTTGCTCTTATGTGCTCTTTCTGTTCTTCTGTAAGAACCTTAAAATGTCTGTATTCCTTCTTTTTCTTGCTTTCTTCTGCTTTTATAATTTCATATTTCTCTGCTTCTGCTTTCGATTTCTGTCTTTTCAGTCTGGACCTTTCTGTTCTTGTTAATGGCATTAGAAATTTTATAGTTTTACCTACTTTGTTTAGAATTCTATAATCTGTTTCAAGTTTCATAAATTTTAATTAATTATATAATAATCAAATAAATCAACTAGTAAAAACCAAATCCTTTGAAAACTTTAATTGAAAAATTTAATANTCAAATATTTAGTTTTTTTAAACTATTAAAAATAAAACTAGATGCTATTTTGTGATAAGAGTGATACATACAATCCACTCATAAGACTTAAAGTACTTAACATGTAGAATTTTAGCAGAAATACAGGTTTAACTTTTTTTCTCGTAACTGAGTGTCTTTTTTGGTAGCATGAGTTACCAAGCTATTTTAATTAAAATTTCAAAAAGTTAGAGATTCTTAGGATTTTTAATGGTATCATTAAAAAAAACAGAAAAATTGTCATCAACCTAAATTTTGTTGAAAGAAAATAAGTGCAATATTTATTATTGCATCGTATTTGAAAGCTAGATTTCTAAAAATCTGTAGCATGAGTTACTGTGGAATTACCCAGGAGCATTGTCGAGGACGAGAAGGGCTTGCATGGCCATTCCTTGTATCTCAAATGTCACTCTTATCTCAAAACAAAACTTCTCTTGCTCAATAGCTCGTATGTTAGGGCACTCGTATCTCGAGGTACCACTGTATATTAATTTATCAACTCAAAGGATATAATTCACAAACATTTATTATAATCAGCAAAATTGAGTAAAATAATTTGATTGCACATAATGTATTGTTCTTTTTACACAGTAAAACATATTACTTCAAAAAGATAAGTAAAATAAAGTTAATATTTTCCTTATTTCCATGCTAAAAAAAATGACTAATACCTATGAGATGATTAAACAAATATGCAACACAAAAATTAAATTTTAAAAAAATGAATTTTCATCATCGTAATGCAGAAAAAAGTTTATATCAGTTATTGCGTTCTTTCGTTTTTACCAGGTACTCAGCAATATATGCTAAAACTTTTTTAAGGATTTCAGCAAAAAAATTTAATGCTAAAAAAATACCATACATATATTTCAAGATATATACAAGTCATGACATGATCATTGATGGCCAAGATACAAGGTTTCTGAAGTTGACATTTCTGTTACTTTAAATTAGTAATATGTACATTTGTTATTTTTTAAAGTATCTAGCAGAAAGATACTTTAGAGGCATTAGAGAGGCATGTCGCAGAAAGCCCGAAAAAAATTCTGCCACAGGGGTTATAATACAAGGTTTATAAAATATTTGTTTTTAAAACAGTTAAATTTTTTCTTTATAAACATCACGTACATAGAAAAATCTTTAATAAGTAAACACCTTCGTTTATTTCGGTCGGACAAAAATTGTATTCACCATTTTTTTAACAACAAGTGACCATCAAGAGAAGTAATAAGGAACGAAAACGTTTTAATACCAAGAAATACTATATAAGCAGATATACTATAAGTAAACATCTTACCATATAAAATTTCATTTTACTTCTCAAGCCCTACTTCTAAAAGTAATAGATGTCTAACACAGTCTAGAAAACCTGCTGAAACTTCATTAATCAGACAGTACTTTAGCGTACGTCCAAAAATGTTTATTTTATGAAACTCGTCCTTCAAAGAGAGCGCCATTTTGCTGTTGTTTTTGTGCAGATCCAGATCTCGTTTATTTATCGCTTTTTTTTATATATATATAAGAAGTATCTTAGCAACCGCCGCAATTCTATCATGTTAACCCCACAAATATTTTGCGACATTTTAAATAGGGGATTACCAAAACTATTCTCACGCCAAGATATGGCCGCCACTGCAGTTGAATTCTGCATGAAAAACATGAAAATAAAAGAAAACGAATCTGCTAGGTAATCTCAACTTCCGTTACGAAGCATTATTCTTAGTGGTAGGCAACCTTAAAAACGAGAGAATGTAGTTCGGCAATGCCAGAATTCTCTAAATTCTTGGAAAAATTTAATGAAGGTTTTACACATTGATTTTGGTCCCGCAATGCACTGATCGTTAAGACACGGATCCCAGCAGATCACAGAAGTCAAGCATCACTGGCTGCAGTCAGTTAGCGGGTGGGTGACCACTTGGATCAGTCTGCGTAGTGACCGAGTGTGTGCGGTATGGGTCGTCGCTAAACTGTTCTACCGTAAAGTGCTCGACTTCACGGGCAGGTCGTCGGGCTACCGAAACGGGGGTGCCATCCCCTCTGCAGAGGATCAAAATTGTGATGTCATGTCTTCGGATCATCCTCAGGGATGTTTCCCAGACCGTCGCCAATAGCCTATTGTGCAGCTCAAGTACGACGTAAATGAACTACAACAGCAACATTGGTTCTGTGCTTATTTAATATTTGTTTTGTTGTTTTCGCATTTCTAATGTTTTCTGTTTAAATCTTTACAACAGCATTAATTTATAAAAAATTGAAAATAAATGCCTGTACTTTAGGAATCTGAATTAATAAACGTTATTTTAATGCAGATAATAATTTGATGGAAAATATTAAATCAAAGAAAGATATTTTTTGGATACATTAAGGTTTTGATAAAAAAAAATATATTTTTAACATTTAAAATTTTGATAAAAAAAATTTATTTTTAACATTTTCAAAACTTTAATAACTTATCTTCAAATATATCGTAGATATTCTTGATCTAGTAGATATTCAAGGAAGTATTCAAGAAAATTTCTTTCAGATTTCGTATCATCACTAACTTTTTCGCCATTTTCTCTCGAAATTTCGTCAATTAAACTCTTGGCGATAGAATTCTCTTGGCGATCATCCTCTTAAATTAATCACCAAAGTATAGGGTTATTAAGAGTCTGACATTTGAGACAGTGTGTTCGTTGAAAGTTACATTGAAAGAGGGCATTATATTGAAAATACAAAAAAGTATAATAATATTGGGTGCTTCGTTTTTTCCTGCTTAGGAATAAAAATCAGTCGGAAATAGTACCCGCAGAGTCGGATTATACCTTCGGTAGGCCCTAGGCACAGCCGTTTATGGGCCCTCCCCTCCTTCCCCCACTCCTAGTGGCGTATCTAGGGTATGGCAGGCGAGAGCTATGGGCGAGAGCCATGGGCGCATTATTTGAAAAAGGCGCAAAATCAACCAACACCAACGTTTCTTTCTTTTTTTCAAAATATTTTAATATTTTGTTTGTTTTAAAAAAATAAATTTCACATACATACAAATGCAAATTTTAAAAACAATAATAAAAATTTTAAAAAAATAAATAAAACATTGAAAAGAATCATTTAGAAAACTCTCCAGAATGCAGAATAAAAACTTCCAATGATCCGATCCTCAGATAAATCTTTATTTTTCCAGTACCATAAGCAAAAAGACAAGATAAATATCTCTTCATATCGCATTACCTGGATGTTAAAGGGCAATTATCCGGAGATGAATAGAACATCTGCAGGCAGAGAAGAGTCCTTTGGTGGTGACAGAGGGCAAAGAAATGTGAAAACCATGGAGTGTCCCTGTCTAGTTTAGCCCAATTATCATACCCTTAAATGCTTGTAGATCTTAAATTTTATCAGGGGTGAAAATCACTTTGAAAAGCGGCTTTCGAATTTGTTGAATATACAAATAGAACCCTTGCTGTAAATTAGCGTAAATCCTTTCAAAAAGGGAGGTTTTGCCACACATGGTGGGAATCACTGTCACAAAACATTTAAATACTAAAAACAGGAGGTGCCTCTGCCTTGCTTAAACCAATGGTAATACTCAACAATGAATAAACCCCATCTATTCTTTTTTTATGAAGAAAAAAAGACAGCCATAAGTGTAATTTAAACGAAGTATTAGGATTTTCTTAAAATCAAGGATTAAATTGTAAGTAATCATTTCTTATTTATTGAAATCATGCTCACTTTATTATTTCACGTTATATTTTGTAGCGATCGATATACTTTCTAGCAATGCCAACTGCTCCACTTTCTTTAAAATATTTTATTCAGTGGTAGTTAAAAACGAAACCATGCAGAATTTAAGATAATTCTGGTAAAATTTATAATTCTCACCTGGAACAAAATTATGTTTCACATGATTTTTTTCAATTATTTATTATTTATACGTAGAAAGGGAAAATGGTTTTACATTAAATAAACAAAGAATCATACAATAAATGTAACTTTTGCACTCAATAAAAAATATTTTTCTATACGGAGCAGAGCAAGTTTGCATCTCTGTATATGTAGATTGAGAGGGGCGTTTACTACATTATAATATTTTGTTTTTGTATATAATTATTTTTATAAAACAAAGTCATTTAATATGCACAATGATATTTTGGTAACAAAAAGTGAACTTCGTGTAATTAAATGCTCGTTATTGTATTATTATTAAAAACAATGTCTTAATGGGAAGAAAAAACGAATGTTAAAATTTGAAATGTTGGAAACATAATTTTTCAAGTTTCCTGAAAAATTATTGCAATAAGTAAATATTTTTGTGTAAATTACGTAGCATTGGCTCAGTTAAGCGTGCCAACTATGGAGAAATAGATTTCTTTTCATTCATTAAAAGATAGATTTTAGGTTTAAACACTCATAAAAGTTTTATTTTTAATTGATTAATTTATTTATTGAATGAATAGATTAAGGATCGTATCGTTAATTGTTCAAACAGATTTTTTTTTTTTTTTTGCTCTTAAGTCACAGAAATATTATTCACACACAATTTTAATTTTAAATTAATAACTTAAGCTCAAGTTTAAATAATTCTTTTGTTTACAAATTGAGAAAAAAAAAGATATGTGTAATTTATCAAGACCTTACTTTGTTTTTTTTTTTAATTTCAAAGCATCTCAGACACAAAATTGTTTAATCTTTTACCTGCTATAGACCTATTTTGGTAGTCATAAATTATACTTGAAAAAACTGTTTTTAAATAAATAATATAAAGTGTTTTAAATAAATAATATAAAGGTTCATATAAAGTGTCCTTTATTTATATATTTGTCCATTATAATTAAAATAAAATGGAAACAAAATATCATTGAGGCTATAATATGTATTTTATAACTATCTATTAAAGCAGCACAATATCAACAATCTTTTTTTTTTCATTAATTGATTCCCTTTATTTTAAGAAAATAAGTAAAAAATAATAATAAACATCTTATCGAAAAATTCGAGCTTGTTTATTTATGAAACATATGCATTTTTATAAAAATTCAAAAAGCCCTCTCTCCTCAAAATATTCAAAAGATTTATATTTCGCTTTTTTTAAAAAAGAACATCTTAAAACTAATTAAATTCAATTAATTTTGGAAAGATTTATTCGGATAATGGCTTTGTCTAAAAAATATCGATGGTTAAATCCTTTATTTTAAATATTAATTATTTGTTGCTTGTAAACTGAAGTTGCATTTTAATGTAAAGGTTCTCGATTGGGTAAATTTTTAACCGCTTAAAATTTTAAACTTACTTATCACCCCAGACAATATTTAAATTTTAGAAAAATGTGTGTGCATCATTAAATTTTTAAACGAATAACAGCTAAGGCAAAATTTACTTTATTAATAATTATGTATTTGTCGATCTATGTGTTTGGATTAAATTAGATCATATGAATTTTAAATAATTTTTTCTGTAAACATGCATTTCGTCTCTATCTTTTTTTTATATTTTCACCTAATTGCCGCTTGAGTGTAAAATTTAAGAAACGACATTTTTATTAACTAAGGTTTAACGTAGTAATTTGGTCACATAACAGCCTACTTTGTTTTTAATAAACCGTAATTATAGAAACTTCTCAGAACTATTCAAAATATTTAATAATAATATTACATTACCTTCCTTTAAAAAACATTTTATGCTCGCTCAAAATAAAAATTTTTTTAGGTAATTCTTTTAGCAATTTTTTTTTTATCATAGATTATTGTAAAACAGTTTGTATTTATTATATTAATTCAGAACATTTCTTCTTAGAAATTAAGTTTCTATCCTCTATTTCATTTTTTTTATTTATTTTGTGAAATATGTGAAAATTGTGTGACGAATATGACCAAAAGAAATTACTAATATGTGTTTTTAACATTTTAGTATTAGTGCAGATTTTCTAAATGTGTTTTCAGTTATTATTGTACTACGGTTACATTTTTGTTTCTTTACATAAAAATAATATTCCATTTAGCTAAAATTTAAAGGAAATTTATTAGGGGGGAGGAGAGTGTCATTACGATGCACAGAGTTTCGACCTGTTTTTCTAATCTAAGCTTCTAGGGAAAATTTTGAAGATCAAAAACTTAAATTCGATGAAAAATGAATGACATGTTTACTAAGGGGAAGTACGTTTTTATATTCGATTTTATTGCTCAAATTATTGTATGCACTAATTTTTTAGCTTATTTCTATGGATTTAAAGAAAAATAAAGTAATTTACAATTTTATCGTAATATTTCGTAATTTAAAATAAAAGATTTAACTTTTCTCTATCGAACCATTAAACTTTTAATGGTACATGATTATCAGAACTACTAATAATAGGATTATCAAAGGTAATTCTTTTTCTAATTTACTTGATAGGTTCCAACCACCTTCGGACTTATGTGTATAAAATGAACAAACAAAAATTAAAGCGAAAAATTTTTAATTTAAATACGCAAACTTTTAATTAAATATTTAATTCTTTGGAATAGTCCCAAGTCTACAATATGATTTTAAAAAAAGTTTTATTATCCTAAAAAAGAATAAAAAAGCGAAACGAAACTAAAATGTCTATACTTTTAGTGCCTTTATTTTCCTTTAAAAATTTCAAGCACAATGACTCAAAAATATGTACATAGTGGTTTCCATTTTCTCTTACTACTTTAATATTAATTATTATCAGCATTATTAAAGAAGGTATTTCTTGAATTATCACTAATAATCATCCGAGTTTAGAATATATTAAAGATAATAAAATCCATTGCGACTTTTGATTTTCAGGATCTTTTCTCCTTTATAAACCAAAAGATGTCTTTTTGAATTATTACTATGATTTTAAAAATATCTTTCATTGTGATTTTGATCATTGGAAAATTCTAATTAATTTTTGTCTTTTTAATAACTACCTTTACAATGAATAGAATTTTTATTTAAATTGATGGACTACCACAAGGATCTAATTTTTCATATCTCTTAGCTAACTTATTTTGGCACTATTGTGAAGAAAAAAATCATGCTCTTAATATTAAACATGTTTTTAAATTTATTGCTCAGCCTTTCATCCCTTCAGTGGGTCGATAAATGAGTACCAAGCATGCTTGGGAACTAAACACTGGGGGTTTTGCGTTCGACTGACCACCTAACCAGAACATCTGCTCCTGCACCCCATAGCCCAAGGTCAAGTTAACTGAGATGGGCACAGTAGGCTTTGTTCCTCTATGGGCTGTCGCGCCACTAAGTTTAGTTTTTAGTTTAGATTTATTGATGATTTAACTATCTTTAATTTTCAAGGTTACACAATTTTTTTCAAAATTAACATTTACCCGGAGGAATTAATCTTGTATTGTAATCAAGATGATAATATTAATTATAATTTTTTAGATTAGGGTATTATAAAAGAAGAAAATATCTGCTTTGTTGATTTTTTAAACGATCAGAGAAGTGATTTTAATTTTAATATAAATAAACTAATTACTTTAGAATTCTAATGTTTCTAAAATGCTTTTAATGTTTAGAATTCTAATCTACTTAAATACCATTTTTAATTAAATGAATAGAATTAAATAGAACATAAAGTAATGTTTATTTATCCTCCCCCCTCAAAAAAAAAATAGGCAAACTCTTTAAAAATTTGATAAAAAACAATGGATACTCAACTGAAGTAATAAAATTCTATGTGAAATCATTGATTTAATTGTATGTTATTATAAATAAGTTTATTAAAAACTTCTTGGATAATTTATATAATTTCTACCATGTGCAAATGCATTTCGGGCAATTCCGTGGCTAAAAATATGCGCAAAATGGCGATTCATGTTTCTTTCTCTCTTTTTTTCCCCTCTTAAATAAATGTGATTTTTCTAAAATCATTAAAATTGTATAATTGAATATCAACTTTATTAATTATGAACTTATCCAGTATAATATCACTTTGCGCATATCCATTTTCGAGCAAATCCTTGGTAACTAACAAATCAAACGCGCTTCAGTACTGTATTACACACACACATACATATATATATATATGCTGGTGTGTATAGATATAATAGATATGTGTTAAACAATAGAGAATAATAAAAATATTTTAAGAAGAGCGCCGATAGGGAGGATAGCAATAGGCGCCATTTTCTCTAGATACGCCTCTGTCCATAACAATCTTGAAAAGCAATAGTTGATATACAAAGTCTTAAAAAATAAATTAAAAAATGTACTAGGTGATTTAGGAAATTGGACGATATCACATTACGAATTTATTCGTATTTATATATTTATTCCTTAGATAAAGAACTATTTTCATAAGAGATCAAATGCTATGTCCTTTTTCCTAAAAACATTTTCTCATCTGCTCTCATTTTCATAAACACTCATTTTAATCTGTATCCAGTATAAAATAAAGCTCATCGATACGATATATATTCCTAACTTTTTGAATCCAATCGGTGATTGCGTGAAAACCTTAAAAAAATGTTTTTGTATAGTAGTTTTGCATAGTAGGACCATAGAAAACAATAAAAAACTAGGTATTTTGTTCGTTTATTTGTTTTCTCTTGAATCAGGTTTTTGCATGAAATTTTTTATTGTTTATTAATATTTTGGCGAAAAACGTTTGTATTTGCATTATTTCGTTTCCTTGGAAAACGCTTTTAGCCTAGTATTTCTGCTTACCTTATCACGAAAACTATGATAACGAAGGTTAACCACTCGCTTTTTTTAACCTATAAGAGACAATATTTTTCAGAAAAGCTTTAAAAAATATTTTTTTGTCCCTTTAGGATGAAAGATAAAATGTTTTAAATGTTGATAAAATGTTTTTAGTACAAACATTTTCGTGACAATAATAAAACAATTCCATTCCAAGGTTGCTGTAAGGTTACACGCTTTCTGGTATGTGCTTAGCTTTACACAGTCAACCATCCATATCGCATAGACTAGGTGGGTCTTAGCGATGAAACCGGTCCCTCCAAACAGTATAAATTAATAGATTAAAGTAACCGAAAGGAAAGTTGATTAAATGTAAACACTAACAAGCTTCCTAAAATTGGAAGAAATTTAAAAATTTTCTTGTGCATATTTCCGCTTATGTTATGATTACGAGGCGATGTGTGAACAGGCCTAGTATTCTAGGAGGTTTTATTGTTGAGATTTTTCTTCAAATTTTCGTGAAATTTTACCCTTCATAAGAGCTTTCTGAAATTTTTAAATTCCAAAAGATCGTTACCCTAAAAGAACTTTAAGAAAATGAATATCTCGACATAAATAAAGAGTAAGGTTAGCCACACTTAGTAGAGTGTTAGCCCTCATTTGGGGATGCTTGCTGGATGTTCCGAATTCAATTGTTATTTATTTCGTTGAAAGTTACATTGGAGGAACGCGTGTTATGGATGGTGTTTTCTACACTAGGGAACGCTGAAAGCTCGGGACTACCTAAATTTCCAGGTTACTGCTTCAGCCATTTGGCCATTGTTTCAGCCATTTGGCATCATTGTGTTTTGAGTTCTTGGAAACAATGTATTTGATTACTTATTACTTATGTTTACAATGCTAACAATACTTGTGTTTACAATACTAAAAGCGTTAATACTATCGTAAGATGCTGCACAGCTTGCAACACGAACAAACAGTAATAAATAAATGGAAAGAGGCCAAATCAAGACTTCCAAAAAAGCGAGTTATTCAAAATCTAGCAACCATGTCACCTTTTTTCAATAATAAATAACAAAATAACTAAAACAAATTCTCACTCCAAACTACCTAGAATTACATAATAGCATTAATATCTTACGAAATACGGCAGATTTGAGCTCAGAAATTATATAATTTATTTCTTTTATAGAAAACAAAATTATCTGTTTGAAAACAACGTCTATCAGAATAACATGTAGTAAGCAGCTGCAAACTTTTTAACCGGAACTAGAGTAGGTGCCGAGCTCGAGATTGTTATTGTTTACATTTCAATTGAAAACACCATCCATTGCGAACACTACAAGTAGAATAATATTGAACGATGCGCTTTTCCAAGCTTAGGCGGAAAAATAAATTGAAAATAGTAACCCAGAAGTTTTACGATGAGTTTCGAATGTTAGCGCCATCTGTGCTTAGCTTTACATGGTCAACCACCAATACTTCATCTGAGTTTTTATCGATAAAAAAATATTTAAAATTTTAATCGTTAGACATCCATGGAAAGAAAAATTATAATTAATTGTAAACAACAGTAGACAGCCGCGAAACTTTTTCTGTTTGTTTGCTGTTAAGTTTAAAATTAAAAAGCGTTTCGTATTCCTCTAATTTTGCTAAACTAAGTAGTAATTTTATATTTTTACTAAATAAAGAAGTAATTTTAGAATTTTCTTTTTTTTGTTTCTAGTAATATTAAATTTTGAAGAAAAAGCAAAAGATGGATATTTTTTAGTAATTCTTAATATGAAAAATACGCAGCAGAATAGCAAATTGCAGGAGAGACATTCGTGATAATTGTCATTTTTGAGTGTAAATGTTTCATTTTTCATAAATTTCAAAGCATTTGCTTCATATTCTAGGTGATATTCAATATAATAATATTAATTAAATTTTTTTTAAACCTTTCTACTAATGCTTAAAAAAATGAAATATGGACATGAAATTTTTAAAATCTTTTGTAAAAAGTTCGATATCGTGATCTGTCGCGCCAACTACAATCGCCAAGGCGCCAAATGGGTTTTAAATTTGCAAATTTAAAAAAAAAAAAAAAACTTGTGGATGTTTTCCCGGGGGGTGGGGGATGGTTACAAGTTATATCTTTCGAGTTGGTCCCTTTCTGTGATGTTTTTTTAAATAGTTTCTCGCGGGCCTCTGCCCGGAAGTTGCCAAGACTTGGCAATAATTCTGCCACAGATCAGGACATGGAAATCTTCCCGTAAAACGATAGCAATGATAATTAAATAAAGTTAGATTGTAACAAAACTTTCTGTTTAAAGATAAAGGGCTTATCGCATTACCAATATAAAAATTTATTAGTAGATTGATTATTAACAATAGAACATTTGTTAGTTATTGCAAAACTCAGGATTTCATTTCTGTGATAGCCAAATTTTTTTATCATATAATTGTAGAAATCAGTAAAAAAAATCAAACAAAATTTGGAAGATTCTCATTCCTTCATACTTTTTTTTAGCATATTGCAAGCGTAAAATATATATATATTTTGAAATATGAAAAGAGTTTTGATTGTCAAAATGTGCCTAAAAAATAGACTCTTCCGGTAAACAGATGTCCAGATAAGAGATTTTGCATATATACATTACACTTAAATATACGTTTCTATTTATAAATGTTTCTATTTATATATAGATATGTATGTAGATTATATATATATATATATATGTAATAACAGGGTTACAACCCCGTTATTTTTGGATTGTTCTTAGTCAAATTAGGAGAATTCAGAAGGCCATAATTCTTTACAAGCTTTTTATTGAATTGTTCGATGGTAGAAGCAGAAGTCGCACCCACTCTCCCAGATGGAGGGGGAATGACACAGATACAGACAAATCTGACGAAGCTTAGTTAGTGTACATTATACGGCAAAAGACATGCGAAAACAATAAGTCCCGCATTATATACTAATAGAAAATGAGTAAAAAGGCTCAGTCTTGTAACCTTACGCATTTAGGAAAATCATTTAATGCTTCCTAATATAGAAGTGAAAGAGGGAAAGATTCTAAAAGTAACTCCTCCTTTGAAAGATAAATCTAATTATAATTCAATGGTATGTTTTCAGCCTTGAATTCCCAAAATAGAATATCTCTACGCCTATTCTTTAACAACGACATTTTATGAAAACGAGAGAGTTTTAATGTTAGTATTAATACAAAAGTATTTATAATTTTTGTATTACACACATATATATATTAACTGGGCATTTGCCCTTGGTTATTTCATTTAGATTGGACATGAAAATATCCTCTACAGTCATGTAATTGTAGGGAATTGTACAATACAGTTCTTCCCCTACTAAGTTGTGTCCAAAGCAGCAAGCATTACCAATTAATCTCTGTCAAGTTTAACTGTTTGTCAATGCACATAAAATGTGAAGGTGGTAGATGGCAGTAACAAGAAAAGAGAAAAAAAAGAAGTAATAAATTAAAGTTTGTGAAACCCTGACATGGTGATTAATCATAAAAAATTTAATATTTCGTTTTTTCGTAAATTCGCATCCCATTTTATTATGAGGATCTTGATGCAAAGTTAAGGTCTTAAATGGTTCTGTTTTATGATTTCGTTAAGCATATTCCATAGAGAATTGTACAGAAATCGCTAAATACAAGTTTAAAAATGGGTAATGATTCTATGGATAATTCTTACACAGATGCACATTTCTAAAAAGAAAATCAATTCATTGAATCTGAATGATTCAGATAGTTAAATTTCACCTTTGACTCATTTCTTTCAAAAATTCGCAAAATAAGTACTTCAATGAACAGTTACAATATTACTGGGAACATACTCTTGTTGATTTAGACCAATATTATATGTTTTTGTAGTCATGATTTTACATTGTGTTTTGTGATTTTTCAGGATGTCTTACCACATGCAAGATTTTTCCGCCCTCGATGGAGGCCAGCTTGAATATTCCAATGGACTCCATGGCTATTGTGGTGATGGAATGAAGACCCTTGGCCAGGAGTACACCCTCTTACAAAGTATTTTGGTGGATGGAGGGACTCATTTTGGAGTGTCAACTCTTTCATTCGATAACTTCGAAGAGTTACTGTGGATGGGGAATCAAGGGGTATTTTGATTTTAGTCTTCATTGTCTGTTTGAATATATATATATTTCCCTTGTTTCTTTATGTTTTTAACATATATATACAAAAATGCAAGGAAGAGGGTGAATGTAAAATAAAATAGAAAATCTTTTGATGGGAAAACCTAAAGGTCTTCATCAGGACAAATTCCTTTACGATAAATGCGATATTTCTAAATAAGGTCTCCCTTCATCCATCGAAAAATTTTGAAGGAGGTACTGCTGAATGTGTGTCTGTATATATATATACAGTAAGGAACCGATTATCCGTAACAAACGGGACCATCGCTATTCCGGATAACTGATTTTTCCGGTTTTTTGAATCGCTTCAAAAAGCCGTTTTTTTATTGTCAAACCCAACTAAAAAAAACGAACTTATTTAGAAATAGTCTTAAAAAGAAGAAAAAATTATAAAGTAATATACTAATGATTATTTCTAAAATGATGGTAAGGTATACATCTTTTAAAAAAGAAAGAAAAATCCTAAAATCTTATGAGGAGAAAAACATTTTTTTAAAAAAATGGTGGGAAAACTTATCGAATTTCGTTCCGGTTTTCTGAATTCCGGATAAGAGGTTCTGTATTGTATGATGACTGATGGAGCTTTCAGCAGCATTTCACTTATAGCTCACTTATTCTAGAGTAAGAGATGGGACGAAGTTTACAGAAGATGAATAGATATAAGGAATTGCAGAAATTATTGTAGTCTGTGACTGTCTGAAGTATCCATCAGTGAAGAGAAGGACAGAGCTGCGGTGCTTAGTTGTCTTGGGAGTATGGAGCGCTGTTGATCCAAAAGTGGACACATGATTATTGGCAGGTGCACTGCATCTACATTTGTTATCTGGAGCAAGGCATAAACGGGATAGCTTAGCTTTTGTTGGGTATGCTCTGTTTCAAATTCGAGAAACTGTTACGCCCTGATGTCTGCAGGAGAAGGAAAGTTTGTGTTCTTTAATTATATGGGTCATATGCGAAAACTCTGCATAGTATTTACTGTTCTCAAGGGCTGTTGGTATAGTCTGTAGATACTGTTGTTTAATAGTGCAGTATGTGTCTTCTGGAGTAAATTTGTTATAGATTTTAGGTTTGGCTATAGCCACTTCGGATATCTGGTCTGCAATTTCAGTTTTGTTACCAAGAATCCCGGAATGACCGGGAACCCACACTAGTTCTACTGATTGGTTGGATGTTGAGAGTGTTTCCAAAGCAGATAGAATGTGGTAGATGATCCCTTGTGATGAAGCAGAGGCAGACCCGAGGGCTGTCAGAACTAAGAGCGAGTCGGACAAAATGACAGCATGTTGGATGTTTGAATGATTTCTTCGAACTGCCAGTATTATGGGGATACCCTCCGCTTTAAATATTGAGCAAATAGAAGGGACATATCCAGACAGTGCTGAACCGGACCGGGAATTGTAAATTGCCGCCCCTGTCTTGCCTGACATCTGGGAAGCATATCTATGTAGAATAAAGTGTGGTAAGGTCAGTGATTGCAGACAACATCCCAGAATACTGTGGGAATTAAGATTGGTGGTAGCTTTCTATCTTGGAAAGGGAGGTTTGACAGATGTATACAGACTTTTGAAGGCAACGCAGGAGTTTGATGGGGCATATTTATCATGTGATTGATGTTGATTTAGCCAGTTTGCTGCTAGGAGGGGAAGAGCCGATTTTCTCGAGGTATTCGGGATGTGTAGGTTACGGTATGTTATTGCCCTTAATGATTGGTAATTGACTTGTCGGACATAAAATCGCATTAAGAGCATATTGTGGCATTCTTGAAGACCCAGACTCCGTCTCCTGGTATAGAAAGGGTAATGGAGTCAGTGGCCCCCATCCCCCCGCAGCTCTTGGATGCATTTATCCTCCCCCCAAAAAAAATTGCTAACTTCCCCCTTCCATGTTAGCTTGTTCGAAATAGTGCTACGTTGCTTCTTTTATTTATGTACTAAAAAAAAGTTCTCTCGTCTAAATTCCCCCCAAACTATTCATTTTATTTAGTGTAAAAATTCCCNTCCCCCCAAAAAAAATTGCTAACTTCCCCCTTCCATGTTAGCTTGTTCGAAATAGTGCAACGTTGCTTCTTTTATTTATGTACTAAAAAAAAAAGTTCTCTCGTCTAAATTCCCCCCAAACTATTCATTTTATTTAGTGTAAAAATTCCCCACAAGCTTTAAGTGGGCGCATCGTGCGCCCACCTTCCCCCCTGATTGGGGCCCCTGAATGGAGTCCACTTCAGAAGGCCTGTAGCAATACATAGTGCTGCATGGTACACCGCATCTAAGATCTTGCGCTCACTGTTGCTAGCAAGGGAATGAAGGTGGCAACCAAAGTGGAGATTATGTGTTGTAGGAGCGTGAGCAATACTTTTCAGTATATTGAGCTTTTTCAGAGTAGATGCTCGTTTTTGTTGGGAATGATGGCAATAGCTGAGATTAGATGAAAAATGGATACCTAAAATACAGATATGGGATGTCCATGCAATTGTTTCTCCTTAAAGGAGAATTTGGGGAGAGATTCAATCTGACGGTGGGAGAAGTCGATTGCTCGACATTTGTTTATGTCTGTCTTTAGTTGCCATTCCTTTAGCCATTTCTGGATACATAGTAGAGTTAACTAAGGTACAGATTGTAGGCAATGGGAGTAAATAAGGAAGAAAATGTCGCCTGCATACCCAAAACAGATGACACCGTTTGGAAGAATATCGTTCTTGTAGATGATGAAAAAGAGAGGTGACAGCACTGATCCCTGTGGAACACCCCTGCTGGCACTGAATGTCCTTGAGCCCGTATGCCCCCAACGCACTCTGAAGGATCTATCTGTAACTAAGTCACAGAACCCGAAATGTTGTGTTGTAGAAGTTTGTATGCTAATCTATCTGACCAAGCGTGGTCATAGGCTTGGGCGATATCTAAGAAGATGCCTATCTAAGAAGATGCCTATCCTAAAAAGGTGATTTGCCTTGCCAAATCGAGTGTGGTGGTCTAGCATTGAGAGAAAGCGGTCACATCTATGTTGAGGAGGCAATCCATGGAGGTATGGGTGAAGAGATATTTGCCTTTCAAGATGTTTTAGAATGATGCGCTCCATTGTTTTGCACAGAATGCTTATGAGAGATATAGGTCAGTAGGAGGTGATGTGGCCTCCCCTAGCAATTGGAAGCACAATTTAAGGTTTCAACTCCACGGTAAGTGTTCCTGACGTTCAGGAGTTATTCATTAAAGAAAGCAGAGTGTTCAAGGACTGCTCATCGAGTCCCCTTAGAAGGCAAGTTGAAATCTTGTCCGGACATGGCGCGGTGGATTTGGCCTGTATAATAGCAGTCTGAAGATTGAATATATATATACAGTGAAACCTCCTGTTATGGACACTCCTGCAAAACGGACGCCTCTCAATACGGACATATTTTTAATTCCCCGGGAATCTTCTATGAATAAACCATTACGGACATTCTCCCCAAAGCGGACACTTCCGCAACCGGACGCGGACAGTCAGTTCGATCCTGAAACCTAGTTTTTTATCTCTACAAACCGGACACTACTTTTTCTAAATAAATTGCAAGCTAAAAAAATTCAACTTTTCACCATTTTTAAAGCATGTAAATAAAACTTTTTGCCTTATCCATAACTAAAAATATTGTTAAGCTATTTCACCACCGAAAAATCAATCTTTCTCCTGTCAC